CACTTGGCTTTGACCACAACCTGCATGTCGCCGTCCTTGACCGAGACATGCTGCGTTGCGTCCATTTTGACGGTGTACTTGGGCAGCACATACTTCTCCACCTCGAAGTAGACGCGCTCGTCCGAGTAGGCTCCGCCATGCTGCACCGACAGCGTCCATGAGCCCAACGTGGCAAACTCGGACAACTCGAATTTGCCCGTATATACTCCCGTACGGGTCTTGATGTGTTTCAGCTCCTTGATCCGATTCCTTTTGGTATCCTCGAACCAGACGACGACATCATCCCCGGCCTCACTCGGCCTTAGGTTCTCGTCCAGGAAGATGACACGGTAATTGATGGCATCGCCGGGCTTATACTTGCCCTTATCGGTTTGCAGCTTTATGTAGGGCTTAAATTCCACCCAGCTGAGCTGTGTGGAGTTCTTGAAGTCCAGTCCGGCCACGCCCTCTGCGGTTAGGTTATAGTCACCCGATTTCAGAGGAGGCAGCTTAAAGGTGACCTGCTTGAACTCATCCGGTTTGGCAAGCTCCACCGTTTGGGTCTCATTGTGCGAGGGTCCCGTAATGCCAATCTTCAACGTGACCGGCTCCTTGGTGTGATGCACTGCGACAGCCACATTGTAATCTCGATGCGAGTGTATGGTTCCCGGTCCAACGATCGTATATTGCCTGCGGCAAACAAAATGATACTTATTAATTAACATATAATCAGAATAGGTCGACAATCATTTTTTAATGTCAAAAAATACTGGGTCAACCATTAATTTGGGTTTTTTCAAATTTTAATTGAATTTGTTTATTTTAGTTATGCTTGCCCAATCGCATTTTAGATTACCAAATTTATGAATTCAGTTTAATCTACATACATAATTTTTTTTTTTTTTTTTTGATTTGATTTTATGCGTATTTTGTTTGTTTTGCCATAATCTCTTGTTTCCAAGAAAGACTTGAAGCTTTTTTATTTGAAGACGAATTTGCACAGGCCTAATGGTAAATATTCCCAGAACCTGATCTGTAGAAACCGGCTCAGCGCGCCGGTTATATAAGAAAAAGTAAACATGGAAGGAGAAATGTATGAGTACAAGGCGATATGAGCCTCCATTTAAGACAAACAAATATGTTTCAACGTTTGTTAACACTGTTAATTAAATCTTATACAACACGTAGCACTTCATTAGCGATGTAACTAATTAGCATTGGCAATGAGCAATGTATTCATCAGCCAAGATCAACTAGAAATATAAACAAATAATAAACGGGTTTTCGGTGTACACTCAAAAGTCATCTTATATATATTGATAAAACATGCAAAAGTACTTAAAAAAAAACTTTTCGAATGACAATGAGGCAACTTTTTACGACGGAACACAATATTTTTTTTCTTTGAGAAAAAGCAAGTGCTAATGAACAGTATAAATATGCTTAGCATTAGTCACAAAGTGCTAATAATTAAGTAAACCCTATCAAATGTTTTACATAAATACATATATATATAAATATAGCTGAATATATGTTATAGATGAATAAAAAGTAAAATAAAAAAAGAAACAATTATTCACGCTTGATGTCCATTGCAATTGCACTGGATAACAATACATATATATATATATATAGAAAACCAACCAATCACATTAAACTAATTTTCCCTTGAGCCCAATAATTGTACATGTATGCATATGTATGTAGTTAACAGGACTTACCCCTCCCCCTCACTCCTGACTGGTTCCGCCATTTGTAGAAGCACGAGAGCCACGCAAGAGGCGATGACAGCAGCAAAAGCGTCTGCGCGACGCATTTTGTTAACAAAAAGTGAACAAAAATAAAACGAAAAACAAAACTTTGTAAATCAATGTATATATATATATATATATAAACTTTGGTTACAATTAATTTAAAATCAATTCAAGTTGGGCTGCCAAGCGATGCCACAACCGACCGGGCTCAAAGCTTAGCTGCGACTGGTTGAGCCGGCGTCATACGGGATTTGTTATATGCACATAGCTACATATGTATGTATGTGTGTATGCTAGTATGCGAGTGCGAGTGTGTGAGTGTGTGGCATCGAAAATCTGGCCTAGCGTCGGCGTCAACGCCGACCGCAGCGTAAGCTGTACAACAACATTAAAAATAATATAAAATGCTCACTGATAATTATAATTAACAAGAAGACTATACACAGAGACATATATATACATACATACATACATACATACATACATACATACATACATACTATATATGTATGCATAACGTATACGAATGTCAACTATAGGTAAAGTCTAACAGATTAATGGACAAACAAAATAAAAAAAATATTAAAAATAAATAATAAAAAAAATCACAACACAGAGCCGGACAATTACTAAATAAATATTTTGTTTAATAATAAAATGGTAGACTGCAACAAAAAAAACCAGAAAGAAAGGCTATCTTCGGCACGCCGAAGCTCTAATACCCTTGCAGACCCAACCTTTTCATAACGCTGATAGTGCTTTGCCCGTATCTAAGAAGCACAGAGAAAATAGTTAATGCGGTGTTTTGGGCAAGATATCTTGATAAACAAAATAGATTTTTAATCAAAAATCTATTTTTGGAACGATCGTTCCTATGGCAATTTATATGTTATAGTAGTCCGATGTAAATAAGATTTTGCAAAAATGAAGGGAACATAGTGAAATCTTTAAGTGCCGTGTTTTTTCCATACAACAACTTAATATTCGACCGATCGTTCCTATGGCAGCTATATGATATAGTGTACTGATCTTAATAGGATTTTGCCCATAGAGCATAGTAAAACTAATAAATGACGAGTATTGTCAAGATATCTTGATAAACCAAAAGATTTTTAATCAAAAACCTGGTTTTCGACCGATCGTTCCTATGGCAGCTATATGATATTGTGGTCCGATCCAGCCAGTTTTCACACTTCTGCAAAGTTTCAAAATATAAGCTATTAAAATTAGAGACTAGTTCGCATAGAAACAGACAGGCGGACATGGCTATATCGACTCGGCTGTTGAATCTGATCAAGAATATATATACTTGATGGGGTCGGAGATGTCGCCTTCTATGCGTTACACATTTCACGACAAAATTATAATACCCTCTGCAAGGGTATAATAAATATAATAAAAAAATACAAATAAACTCTTGGCCGGGCGATTACTAAATTAATATTTTCTTGTATAATAAAATGTTAGATTGCAGCAAAAAAAAAAAATCATCTTTAAGTAAAATTCAAGCAAACTTTTGTCTAGTTCAAGTAAAGGAAAAAATTAAGAGCTATTAATTATAGCTTATTCATAGTAATTATTTCGATAATTTAAATCAGTTAGGAGTTTTAAGAACTGCTCAAAAAGTTCACACGTATTTGTAAGCAAACGAACTGATAATTTGAGAATTATCTTTTTGTTTCACTTTCCATTCTTATTATCATGAAATAAAAAAAAAATGTCTTATCTAAAATGTATATATATGTGTGTATATTCCCGATCAACAGGTTAGTCATTATAGTCACTTTCGTAAAAACCAAGCGCTCAGTTATAAATCTTTACAATCGGCCGGATCGGAACACCATATTATATAGCTGCTAAAATTATCCGTGTATTTTTTTTTTTTTTTTGTTAGACAAGCTATGTTAACTGTTGCCGTTACGAGTTCTCTCATGTCTGGCTTTATTATATAGATTGTGAAATTCGCCCCAAATATCTGAAAACCCGCTAGTCAGAGACTATTCTATATATAAATACTTATTTAGAAAACTAATCTGTAATAGAATTCATACACACGATTCAACAGTAATAACAGAATAAAAATATTATTCATTTTGCTTATCGCTGGAGTATCATGCAAATGGTTAATTAAATTCCTTAATTTGTTTTTGTGTTGATAAATTTAATTTCTGCTTTGTAATTAGCACTTTAATTGTCATAGGTTTAGCGTTCATTAAAGATCTAGTTTCAATCGCATGCACAAACCTATTCACGGGGTTTTCCGGTTTCACTAGACTAGCTTCATGACAAAAATGGTTTGTATGTAAAATATTTAAATATATGTGTGACTGAACACAAACAATAATAATAAATGCCGTACTTTTGGTGTCGGGGGGATGTTTGCTGTTCGCTTGACAAATATATTTATTTACGATTTACAAAATATCTTTGTTGACTTATTGGGCCTTTATTTTCGCAAGTCAAAAGCGAACTTGTTTTATTTATGAAACACTTAGCACACTAATGGACCTTGCGAACGGGAGTGTCAACGGGACTGGCCGACAATCAGCTGTTAACTGAACGATTCCCGCTGCGTTCTCTTTTGCTGTGCCGCTTCGCGTTGGGACTTTTTTTGAGTAATGACGTCATGCCGTTTTATCTATTTCACATTGCCACGCAAAACAGTCAGCTGTTAACGGAACGTTGCGCGCTTCTTCTCTCTTTCTGCTTGTTGTGTTGTGCTGCTTCGCGTGGGTACTTTTTTTTTTTCTCTGAAATGACATCATACAGTTCTATCAATTTCACACTGGCACGTAAAACAAGTAAAAGTGGCCTGGTCGGAAGTTGCCGACTTGGGGATACTCTAAGCCAACACCTTCTTATGATATAGAATACTCGTATATTCTGAAAAACACAATAGCATTAAAATTGTGGTTTTAATTAGTGCGCAAAGCAATGAGTGAGAGCGAGGCACACTCTGCACATGCATGCACACATATGCACATATGTATGTACTTGGGCTGTAAGGATTTAAAACTAACATACATATATTAAGAAAAAGCATCAGCCGCAACGACGTTGTGCGCCGAGCGAGCTGCGACTTCATACTGATCGTTCGGCTTTCGATGCTGGCGTTAGGCTTCCACTCTCAGCAGTCCTACTCTCTCTGGGCAGTGGTTTATCACGTTTCGATTATTTGGCTGTTTGACGTATCTACATACATATGTATGTATTGTATGATTAGAGAGTGTTTTGGCAAAGCCAGTATAAAAGCAGAACCTGCTACCGTGCGATTGTATACACAAAGAACGAGTGCGACCCAATAGACGACAATATAAACTAAAATTATTTAAAACGCACATTTTCGAACTTACAAATAAAATATTTAAAAAAAAAAAAGGTTTGAATATGCCTGAGGGATTCCTAAAAATCACCTACCACTATGCACCTGCTGGTTCAGCGAAGAAACTGAATATATTTGTGCCAATGCCATCCGATCAATTTGATCATTTGTATTCAGAAATTGAGAGGTACCTGTTTGAGAAGCGTGATCTGCCTGTTTGCAATTTTAGGATATATTGGATTGGTAAATAAAAATTAACTTAAGTACAATGTGTGCTAGTTACATATACATACATACTTGTATAAGCTGTATACATATACATATGTATATGTACATATGCGTACACTCATGCAATTCACAGGCACATTTTACTAGTGCGCGCACATACATTCACACACAGTCATGCATGTTTGTATGTATGCACATCGGTGCCTCCTTCCGCCCAGTATGAAAAGAAAATCTACCAAAATCAAGTGATTCATTTTGCTTATTGCATTTTTGTTGGTTAAATTTAAACTACATCACGGATATATTTCTATGAATTTCGCAATTGTTTGTAAAAAGGGAAATATTTGAACTTTTTATCTCTCTCTCTCTCTCTCTCGTTTAGATTCGGATTCTGATGAAATTGATCTCTCCAATCAACGTGACTACGTAATTTTCTTGGCAAAATGCGAGAAGAATATGCATTTGCATATTGCTATCGATGATGATCTCTCAAATTTCATTACTCATAAGGGAATAGAGTGCGATTCATGCAAGGCTTGCCCACTGATCGGTTTTCGCTACAGGTGCATGCAGTGTCCCAACTTTGATCTGTGCCAGGCCTGCGAGTCGGCACACAAGCACCCGAAGCACTTTATGGTGCGAATACCCGCCAACCAACATCGGGCCTAGATTTGTTGATGCCTGGATAACTTACTCGCGCAAACAACTAATGCACTTTGATAGGGATGCAGACGCGTGCTAGACATTCGGACCAACATCCTACATTTGCACAATGACAATAAATTCATAAAATGATCACTTGCATATTTTTCATTTCAAAGTGCAAACGACGGACAAGTGCGTTTCACCTGTTTTCATAGACTGTGTCAACAAATGACGATCTAATCAAAAAGAGCTTCAATTTATGTATTTAACGGTTTGATAAAACATTAATAACCTGCATTTAAATTTACTTGAATATGAATAAAACCAAAGCCAAAACCATAAAACCCAGCGATGCCGTTTTATTGCTCAAATCATATGGAAGAGAGAAAGCCAACGCATTTTGCAATGTCTGGCAGGGAGAATGAGGTGAGCAATGAGTGAGAGCGAGGCATACATATGTACATAAGCATTTGCGGCCTCAGCCGCAGCGCAGCCGCAGTTGTGCGCCGAGCGAAATGCGACTTCATACTGATCGTTCGGCTTTCGAGGCCGGCGTTCGGCTGCCACTCTCAGCAGTCCTACTCTCTCCGGGCATAACACAATGGTCGCTTGGGGTTTCCTCGTAGCGGCTTATCATGTTTCGATTAACGTATCTATATAATGTATGATTAGTGATATCACTCTATAAAGAAATAGGGGGCCAGAGAGTGATTTGGCAAGGCCAATATAAAAGCAGAACCTGATGCCATGCGAAGCTATATACGAAGAACGCAATGAGTGCTTGTATAAGCCCATGTGTATGTGTGTGTGTGTGTGAGTCAGCTGTATAGTATATATGCATGTGTGATATGTGTGTACATCTGTATCAAAAGCCATAAACATACACACATGCATTTCACAGGTCCATTCACACACACACATATGTATGTATGCACATTGGAGCCTCCTTCCGCCCAGTGTAATTCGCTATAGTTAATATATACACTACATGTATATAACAAGAGGTTCTAGTCGGGAGCTTCCTAAATTGAAGAAATCGAGTCAGCTAGTCAGGAATGCCCAGCTTGAGATATACTGTTTACAGTGCTGCAAACCGCAAACTGATTTGAACTTCTCATCTCTCTCGTTTAGATTCAAATTCTGATGAAATTGAGGTCTTCAATCAGAATAACTATGAAATTTTCTTGGCTAAGTGCGAGAAGAATATGCATTTGCATGTTGCTGCCTGTCACATGGAACAGCAAGATGCAAAGCAGGCGCCAGCTCCGAGTCCGGACGCAATCAAGGTTCTAGTCGGGGGCTCCCGACTAGAGGATACCCTGAACCCTCTTCTTCCAACATCAAATGCATATATATATTCCATTTTATTTGTCAAGTTTGGTGACTATAGCTCTTATTATTTACAAAAATGTACCAAAAAACAGGATATCGATAACGATTGCTTGGAAAGGGGGTAAAATATCTAATATCGGAAACAAACTCGATCTGCGCAGGCACTAGGAGCACCTACATCTAGCTAGGTTCTAAGATCCTTGCGTTCATACATACGGACAGACGGACATGGCTAGATCGACTCGGCTATTGGTGCTGATCAAGAATATATAACCTTTACGGGGTCGGGAGAGAACTTGTATTTGCGAGTCAGCCAACACGGGACCTATTTTTGATGCCTGCATAACTGGTGCCGGTGCCGGTACCAGCCGTGATTAATGGAAACAACTAATGTAGAAGAACCCGTTGCCGCACTCTTAACTCGTTTGCACTTTGATAGGGATGCAGACGCATGCTAGACATTCTGACCACTAACTGTCTGTCATAAAACCCTTTAACCCAACATTCTTACAATGTCAATAAATTCAAAATTCACCTGTTTTCATTGACTGTGTCATTATAGTTACCGTTATGAGAAAACATCAATTACCTCCTATTGATACATGGTAAATACATACATACACACATATGCAGTTCTGTTAACATTCTGTTCCGATAACATTTAAAAACAATGTTAAGCTAAATTATAACGGTTAACAGCTCAGCCAACTAGCTTAAATGGCCGTACCTTTTGCTTATGGTTTGTGGTTTCTCGTTTATCAGCCATTCGCTTTTGGTTAGAATTTCATAATATTGAATGATATGAATCATACGAACCGTTTTAGAGTGGACCCAAATAACTGTGCTCGGTTTTCGTGCCTACTCACTTGTCAGCTGGTGTCCGACGGCAAATTGCACGACTAATTATACAAACCGGTTTACAATGTTCCGAAAATAACATGATAAAATTTGTGTACTTTTGCACAGGCCAATTAATGGCAATCGGCAGCAACAGGGTGCTGCTGCCGCCTTTTACGCGCCAAGGTGAAGCACGTGCAAGCAACAGCATACAGCTGAGTCATGCTCCATTTGATTTGAAAGTTTTTGCACACAAAGTTCCCCGAGCCCCGAGATCCGAGCCACTCAGCTGTTCGCAGTCTGCGTTCTTTCAAACGTTGTCTGGCATTCGAAGCGCGCGGTCGCCCGGAGATCCCCACGCAACAACAAAAAACAAAAAACAACTAATCTACACAACGTGAGCAGCGCACGTAGATAGATAAAAGTTGTTAGACAATAAAAGTTGAACATAACGGGATGGAGAATAAAGTTATGCAAGGCTGTAGTGCGTCGGGACTGCGGGACGTTTGCGAGAGCACGAATCTGCTGGACTATATCGGAACAGTTGTGGATCAGATCGAGAATAATGCTACAATTGACAATGCAGCGTTTAGGCTTAACAAATTGGATGCATCCTCGGCGAGGTACTATTTTGGCTTCTGTGCCATCATCTCACACGTACTGCTCGCAGGGATCACGCTGGTCGTGGTGCACAAATGTGTGTCCCTGAAAATGGTGCATACCGCCGGACACGCCTTCTACTGCACAGTTGCCGTAAGTAATATTTATTTACCTTTAAAAAAATAGAGTATTTACATATTTGCTCCGTCAGTTTGTATTCTTACTGGGCGAAGCTCTGCTTGTGCGCCACAGCAGAGTCTTGGAAATGTGGCTGGGCCTATTCAATGTGGATCTGCTGCACAGCGCTCTCGGCCTGCTGGCCTTTGGCATCGGTATCGTCGGCGTCGGCATCAAGACCTGGCAAAAGCGCGAGCGCAAGCGAGAAGATCCAAGCGCCACAGTAAAGCATTTCCGCAGTAATCACGGTTTTTTTGGTAGGTGCACGCAAACTCGCAGCTGATTTACATATTCATTGTCTCGCTCTCTCTCTCTCTCTCTTCCTCTTGTTCGCAGGCATTGTCGGATGTGCTCTGCTTCTCGGCTGCGTACTCAGCGGCCTGCCGCTCTATTTCTATACGAATAAATCGCTGCAGATCATTCATCGCTTCTGTGCTCTCAGCAGTTTTGCAACACTAATGATTTCCCAGATGTTCAGCTACAACACTGGCTTTGCGCGTCGCCAATGGAAAGCACACCACATCCGGCTCTTTAAGCTGTTCACATTTATTGTGACTATCACGACGATTAACTACGAATTCAGAAGATTTGTGCGCGAAATTTTAACGATTATCTCGGAAAAACTCGGCTATTAATTTGGGCATTTTGGTCATCGAATACATTTTCATTGTTTAGCACACATAGTATATATTTATAATTTTTATTATTTGTTTAATATACGATACCATTGAATAACATAGTTTTGATTAGTTGCCACATACACATATACACATACATACATATACTATAGATTATATATATCCGCGTAACTTTCGTTTGGTATAATAAATGAAAACAATTCACCAGAAATAAACCAAAAAAACTGACAAATTCAGCCCGAAACAATTATAACTTGTCGTTGATTAAAATTGATAATTTTAAATGGAATTAATTGCGACCACTTTGCGATGTGTGCATTATGTCCAATGCGGCAGGTATGTTACCCTCCACCGACTCCAGCAACTGCGTCAGCCAAGCTCCTTCATTGCTAAAACCCATGGCCATCATTGCGTGTACGGCGGCATTAATGCGTTCATCTGTGGGTTGGATCGATATTAGAATTTATTTCGACAGCATTCCAAATCGGATATGGTTACTTACCAGTATGGTATATGGGCACCTGGCGCTTCTCCTCGGGTGCTGGTGGATTACCAGTTGTCGATGTCGAGGTGCTGTTGGTGGACACACCTGTAGTTGATGTCGAGGTGCTCACCGTATTCACCTGCGATGTTTGTGTGTGTGCAGTTGTCTGCTCGCGTTGTTGCTCCTCGTTGACGTGCTGGCGCAGCATTTCACCCAGTTGCACAAAGTCGCGAACTGGTGAAACTGTGGCATCTGTTGGGACAGCGTTGGTCGAGCTCAAGTTAATCAATGCGTCCGAGTTCGAAACGTTGGCCATCGGCGAAGCACTGTTGTCAATCATTTGCCAGTCCTGGTCTAAGCTATCAGAACTGCGCCTTGCTTCTGGTTCTACATTTGTAGTTGGCTTCGGGTCGGGCACAGCCTGTGCTTCTGGGACAGCAGTTGCTTTTGGAACAGTTGGTGGTTCGCTGGCCAATGTCTGGGATTCACGACGTTCAAGAGACTCGGTTGCTGATGTTGATGGTGTTGCCTGTTTGCCTGGGTTCTGTGCGGTCTCTGCGCCAACTTCGGATTTTTCAGAAGCTGTCGAGCCCCTGGACGCCATCGAGGTATCAGCACAGCCAAATGCAGCGGCTTCACTGGGGTCAATCATTTTAGCAAACATTTCGCTAAAGTTGTTCAAGATTTCAATACCAGCACGCATATATTCCGGATTAACAATCTGGGCAAGGCTCTCCAGATTAATTACCGGGGTTGTTGGTGTGCTGTTTACAGTTGGAATTTCCTGCGTTTTGGGCTGCTCCTTGGGACTGCGAGGAGCAGCAACGGGTTCTTCTGCATTAGTTGTCTCCGGTTCAACTGATGCCTTTACTGGGATCTCATTCGACTCAGTTGATTTTTCAGCATTTTCAGCCCCTTCCTTCCTAGCGGTTGCTACATTTGGCTCCTCTTTTGGTACTGCGGTCTCCTTCTTGTTGCTGGCCTCCGGAGCTGTGGCGGCGGCGGCAGCCGGCGTGGCACCCATAGTAGGCATTACGTGGCCCTCTGGCAAATTCATCATCATTTCCATGATGTTCGAAAATACGCCACCATGACGACGAGCATGACGTCGCTCGCGACGACTCTCTTTGGGCGAATTCGGAGCAGTAGCGCAAGGCGGAGCAGTTGCGCAAGTTGGAGCTGCCTTTGCCGTTAAATCAGCCGGAGGATAGGCCCATGCGAATGGATTCATCATCATTGGGTCATCACGGCAGCGACGGCTTGCGCGGCGATGAATGCGCGAGCTGGTACCGGGACCAGTTATCCAGGCATCAATAAGTCTCGGTCCGTTGTTAGTCGGCATTCGCGCCATCAAATGCTCCGGGTGCTTGTGTGCCGACTCGCAGGCCTGGCACAGATCAAAGTTGGGACACTGCATGCACTTGTAGCGAAAGCCGATCAGTGGGCAAGCCTTGCATGAATCGCACTCTATTCCCTCATGAATAATGAAATTTGTGGGATCATCTTCAGCTGGACCCGAGGCTGGCGCCTCCTTGGCATCTGCCTGCTCGATGCGACAGGCAGCAATCTGCAAATGCATATTCTTCTCGCACTTAGCCAAGAAAATTTCATAGTCATTCTGATTGATGACCTCAATTTCATCAGAATCCGAATCTAAACAGGAGAGAAGAAGTTTTATTTCCCAATATTTTCCTTTTACAACAAATTGCGAAATGCATAACAATACGTGACATGAATATAAATGGTGTGCAAAAGACTAACATATTGTTTTATTTTCATGACCGGTGATCGGTTCGGCTGTAAGTGCTAAAATTAAATTTTATTTATTTATTTTTTTAGCAGCCCTGTAAACAGGGTATCTCCAAGCTGAGCACGCCCGACCAGCTTACTCTGATTATGTTTACATACAAAGCTAGTTTATGTGCAAAAACAAAACAAAACTCTTCAGCAAAATGAATCATTCGATTTTGGTAGTTTTTCTTTTGGCCAACGAATCTATTGTTACTGATATCAGTATATACATATATTCACTATTGTGAATCACACTGGGCGAAAGGAGGTGCCGATATGCATACATACATGTATGTCTGAATGTGTGTGCGTGCACTTGTGTAGGTACACACAAAATTTCGCAACATGGGCTTGTGAAATGCAAGTATGTATGTATGTGTGTGAAGTGCATGTGTATATGCATATATGGCTTTTGATACAGATGTCCACACAGAAGACACTTACATATATACTATACAGCTAACACGCACACGCACACACACATGGGCTTATACAAGCACACATTGCACTTAATTTATTTCGCATTCTGACTTGTCTATTATATCATCGGCATGTTAATATTTACCAATCCAATATGTCCTGAAATTGCATACAGGCAGTTCGCGCTCTTGGAACAGGTACATCTCAATTTCACGACGCAAAACAGCAAAAGTATTTGATGGCATTCGCAAATATGCATTCAGCTTCTTCGATGCACTAGCAGGTGCATCGTGGTATGTGATTTTTAGCAATCGTTCAGGCATATTGAACTCCTTTTCTTTTTATTTTATTTGTAACTCAGAAAATGTAGACAGCGACTGTGCGTTTTAAATAATTTTAGTTGCTATTACTTGTTTTGCAATTTTTGTCTATGTCGTCTATTGCGTCGCGCTCGTTCTTTGTGTATACAATCGCACGGCAGCAGGTTCGGCTTTTATACTGGTTTTGTCAGTCGTGTGCTGGACACGAAGGTTCTTGAATATTCTTTGCTGCACAAAAATATTGCAAATCACTCTCTGGCCACCTAATTGTCTATGAAGTGGTACGTAAAAACGAATAGTAATGCCAAGCTGGTCTTAAGTAAGACGATTTTTGGAAATCGGTGTATGCTTTTCGTGCTGCCAACAGTGTTGGTTAATTGCGAAAAAATACTGTCCGCTTCGGATCAACCCTGATGATTTCTATTACGTGAGTTTGTTGGCGCAATTTTTCAAAAGTAGCTTAACTTATTTTTAATTTATATATCTTGCTAGGAGATAATCTATGTGCAGGTTTAAGTTTCTTTTAAATTTATTTTTATTTATATTTACAGGTTACTCATCACTTACGTTTGTGTTTCTCTGGAGATCGGACGTGAAAATTGCAGTCTCGTGTGTGTGTGCGCGTTAGTGCACCGCTGGCAGCAGGCATAAACCAAGAAAGTGACAGTGACACTGTATAAAGCCCGCCCCAGGGCAATCCATACAAATCCCGCTTATAGTGGGTAAACTATACGCAACTGCTGCCTCTGGCAGCCGGAGTGTTATACAAATTAACAATATTTTAACAAAAAAATTACCGCGTGCAGTGCGTGAGAACAAGTTCTTGCAAAACTTAAGCTGCGCTCAGCTGATCGCAACTCAAGTGCGTGTGTGTGTGCGCGAGTGCAGCAAAGCTTTCGCGAGAGAGCTTTCAGCTTGCAGCTGCACTGATAGTGCTGGCAAAACAGTCACTGCAGTGACAGTGCTGACACTAAAGTCACAATTTGTGATCAATCACTTGTTACAAAAATACGGGTTATTTTTGTAATTAAGTGTAAAAAACTTGTTTTGTTTTTATTTTTTATTCTTTTTTCTCCCTGTGGGGAAAAAATTATAACAAAGTAAAGAACAATGGCTACAAACAACCGACCCCAAAACAACGAAGAAATTCATTCGCCAATCTACCCGCTGCCGAACAGCTCAATTATATCCCCTACAAATATAGCCGCTAATGTCGATCGCCTCGACGGAAGCAGGCCACTGGAAGATTTTTACCAATATTACAACAACGTGCTCGCCAGTAGTGCAAACCGGAACGGCGCCTCCACCTCGCTGTCAGCCGGTACCCAGCAATGCTCGACTTGGCAACCGCAACAGCACGGCACTGTCAGCACAACGACAGCAACAACCACCACAACCACAGCGTCATCCAGCAGCGGCTGCAGGACATCTGCCTCAACAGGCACAAGCCGCGCCGCTTTAGAGCCCATCGGGACCCGCCCCAAAGCCGCCAATCCGACCTTGCAGTCCACCCCTTATGGCACCCAGGCAGCTGGTTCTTGTGTCACAAACCCCCCTCTGCCTCCCATAAAGAACGCAGGTGCTACGCCAGCCTTCGAAGAGCCACTGGTAGATTGGCAAACGGTTTCCGCAAAAAAACGGCGTGGGACTACATTATTATCCGAAGGCGTAAAAAAAGGGAAGCAACTAAATAACCGCAACACCAGCCGCGCTGGAGCTAAGCCCGCAACTCCCAGTACCGCTTCGGCAATTAGCAACAGATATGCCTCCCTTGAGCCTCAGGAAGACGCCTCTGTAATCGATGACGGCGAGATGGACACTGCCGACGAAGCGCCTCCAGTCACAGACCAACAACAATCAGCGAAAAAGATCTCCAAACCCAGGCCGATAACAGTCCCTGGAGTCAGCGATATTGTCGCAATGGAGCGAACCATAGATCAGGCAGTGGGCGCAGACGCCTATGAATTCAAGGTCTCTCCCTCTGGCTATCTAAGAATTTACGCCAAAGATGCCGACACCCACAGAGCAATTGTCCGCAAGCTCACTGAAGTGAGAGTGCAATTTACCCACTTCTGCCTAAAGGAAGACAGACCATACCGCGTTGTGGTTAAAAATCTGGCCGCTTCCACTCCCAGAAGCCAGATTGAAGCTGCCTTTACATCGCACGGCCATATTGTGACGAACCTTTACAACCCGGGCGCCAGACAGCCAACAAGTGATGCAGACTCCACCAACGACTTTCCAAGTCGCAACTTCTGGTTTGTCGATCTCAAGCAGTCTCTTAACAACAGGGAAGCGCTGCGGCTCAACAAGGTTGGCCGCCAACGGGTCACTATTGAGCTTCCGAGGAAGAACAATAGTATAAGGCAGTGTTTCCGCTGCTTCGAGTTCGACCACACCAAAAACTACTGTCTCAAACAGCCCAAGTGTGGTAGGTGCGGTCAGTCCCATTGGACAAACTCCGAGCAGTGCCAGGCCAAAACAGTGGCAGACCTGCGATGCTCCAACTGCGAGGGAAACCATGCTGCTTCCTATAAAGGATGCAAAAGCTATCAGGTGAGACTAAATGCCAGGCAGCCGGCCATCAATGTCTCCCCTCCTACACGATATAGCCATCCTCAAAATACACGAAGAACCACTCAGCAGTTCGTACCTTCCCGAATTGTGCAACAGGGCCTGTCGTATGCTGATGCGCTACGGCCAGGCCATCATGTACAAGTCCGCCAACCCCCAGCGCGCACTCTTCAGCCCACCGTCAATCCAATGCAGCTCCAACAACCACTGCAAGGGCCTCAGGAGCAAGACGCTTCCCTTGGAGGCATCCTTCAAAACCTCCAGCAGTCCATTGCAGCACTGAATGCCGCAGTTGCAACCATTCTGGTTAGCATTAAAGAGCTAAAGGATGCGCAAGGTTCCCCGCAGCTTAGATTCCCAAAAAGCCGCAAATAATGGCTACCCAGTTACGTCTCGGATCGTGGAACGCTCGTGGCATCCTCCAAAATGCTAACGAGCTCAAGCTTTTTCTGAAAAAGCATGATGTAGACATCATGCTCATCTCAGAAACACATCTGCACACAAACTTGTACCTAACAATGGAGGGGTACGTCTGCTACCGTGCGGATCACCCTACAGGACGAGCCAGAGGTGGTGCTGTAGTGCTGGCAAAGCAGGATTTAGCACACTACCATCTACACACAGTGACCTCCAGCGACACACAGCTGGCTGCTATCATGGTGGAGACTCCCTTGGGCGAAATCCTCGTTGCGGCAGCATACCTACCACCAAACATCCCCTGGAACCGAGCGGAATTTGATTCCCTGTTTGGCCAGCTTGGCCCCAAATTCATCGTTGGAGGCGACTTCAACGCTAAGCACAGACTGTGGGGAAACTACAGAGCTGACAGCAGAGGCACTGCGCTCCATGAGGCGCTCACTCCCTGCTCAGCCCAGGTACTGGCCACCGGTAGACCTACCCACTTTCCGTACAACCGGCAAAGTACGCCTTCCTGTATCGACTTTTTTATATTCAAGGGCATCCCCAACAGCGTACTATCGGTTCGCGAAGAGTATGATCTATCTTCCGACCATCTGCCACTCCTCACAACGATCAACACGGCTGCACAAAGGATCCCAAAAAAGCGCAGGCTTGTCCTCCCTGGGTCGAACATCCAACGATTTAAGGCCGAACTAAATAGCTTGATCAACCTAAACACGCAGATTCTGTCAGTTGAGGACGTCGACGCTGCAGTACAAACCCTGTTGGACCAAGTACATGCCGCAGCCGCCAACGCTGCGCCCGCACATATCTACTCAGCCCCTACAAGCCAGCGGCCAAGGACGTTTTCCCCCATATTGGAAGGTCTTCTCGCCCTAAAAAAGCGACTGAGGAGGGAGTATGTCCGTACCCAGGACCCCACGATTGACAGGATCTATCGTCGTATTGCTAACAGGGTCAGGAAGGAGCTGATTATCTCGAAAAGAAATGCCACAGACACCATGCTGGAGGAAGCAACGGCAGACGAGAGCTCCAAATTCGCGCTGTGGAAACTTAGCAGTCGATACAAGCGGCAAGCTGCGCCAAAGTTCCCCGTTCGACTTCCCGATGACACCTGGGCCAGATCACCAATGGACAGAGCCGAAGCCTTTGCCTGCAACTTGGAGGAGCGCTTCAAGCCGTTTGAGACCGCATCGCATGCAAGGATACAGCGAGTCGCGCAAATCCTGGAGGCGCCACTCCAAATGTCACTCCCTGTATCGCCAATCACCTTCCAAGAAGTAGAGCAGGAGATGAAGAGATTAAAAAGCAGCAAAGCCCCTGGGGAAGATCGGTTGGACAACCAGACAATCAAGCTACTGCCATACAAGGCGGTGCTTTTTCTCGTCGCCATTTTTAATGCAGCTCTTCGGCTAGGTTACTTTCCAGTGGCTTGGAAGAAGGCACATATAATCATGTTGCACAAGAGCGGAAAGCCCCCTAATCAACTGGGATCCTATCGCCCCATCAGCCTCCTGCCTGCCTTTGGTAAGATTCTGGAAAGGTGCATCCTCAGAAGGGTCCTGGATACCCCGGAAATAAAACGCTTGATCCCGAAGTTCCAGTTTGGGTTTCGACTCAAACACGGTACCCCTGAGCAACTACATCGGGTCACAAATTATATTTTGGACGGCTTTCACAGGAAAGAGTATGTGGTGGCAGCATACCTTGACATCCAAGAAGCCTTCGACCGGGTGTGGCACGCAGGACTCCTCTCTAAGATAAAGGACAAATTGAATCCGCAGCTATTTAGCACCATTGCGAGCTTCCTAACTGAGAGAACCTTTCAAGTGGTGCAGGATGGAGTAGCCTCTCAAACCAAACGCATAAAAGCGGGCGTTCCACAAGGCAGCGTCTTGGGTCCCACGCTATATAGCCTGTTTACACATGACATGCCCACAGCAAATGCAAGCAGACGGAATGATCGGCAGGACCTTCTGGTGGCCACGTTTGCTGACGACACGGCAATCCTTGCAAAAAACAAATGTGTGTACGTGGCAACTGACCTCTTGCAGGAATACCTCAAGCGATTTGAAAACTGGGCTTGTAGATGGAACATCGCAGTGAACCCTGGAAAGTGCGCCACGGTTACCCACACTCTACGCAAGGACTCATGCCCCGGACTTTTTCTTCATGGTGAGCTTCTAGAGCAATATCGTCAACACAAGTACCTAGGTGTCACTCTCGACAGACGACTTACATTTAGTAAGCACGTCTCTGCAGTAACGAGCAACATCAAATCTAAGATAAGGCGAATGAGCTGGCTCCTCAACTCCAAAAACAAACTCTCGCTCCGAAACAAGGTCCTAATCTACAAGGTAATCCTTGCCCCAGTGTGGCGTTACGGGCTTCAAGTTTACGGTATAGCTGCAAAAACACACCTGAACAAAATTCGCATCATTCAGGCCAAAACCCTGCGCAAAATAACTGGAGCCGAATGGTATATTCGCACACGCGACATCGCCAAGGACCTCAAGGTTCCAATGGTGGGCGACATAGTCAACAGGCAAGCAGCGAGCTACTCAACAAAGCTCCACAACCACCCAAACATCCTGGCGAGGAGCCTGCTAAGGAGGCGAAGAAGAAGGCGACTGAAGAGGACCTACCCAACCGACCTAATCGATCGTTATGTATAGGTGACAAGCTTCGTTAATTACACCAAAATATGTTTCTGTAATCTGTTAACCTAATTGTATAACTAATTGTAAAACCACAATCATCGCTAAGCTAAGTAATTATGTCACTCTGATAAAAGTTGCTAACATAGAGTAACAGGATACCAGATTTCTTAATAAACAAAATATAAAAAAAAAAAAAAAAAAAAAAAAAAAAAAACAGGTTACTTGATTCAAATTGTGGACATCAACTTTCTACTGATAAGTCGTCCGTATTATCTTAAACATATTGAATTATATATTGCATAGATATTTGAAAATACCTTTAAAGGCTATCGAATTTAGAACCAGAAGTTGAATTCAGCGTTTTCTGCCAATATTGGTTCCGTGTTGCGAATCTTGCAGCTAAAAAATGGTAAATCCTCCTAAAGATCACTGAAAATTACCCAATATTTTGATATTGAAGCCAATTGAGGGTAATCTCCAATTTACCACAGTTTACCACAATCGCGAAAAACGTACTCACGAGGCTCTTATGTAGAGCCTTGAAAATAAGTTTAAAGCAAATAAAAAAAACCTGAAACTTCTCAAAAAAATCGTTGAATCACATTATCCACTGAGGATGCTTGGATGTTTAAACAAGTTTCAAATTATTTTTTGTAATGATCTTTGGAAATGAATTTTCGCGAGAAACTCCTCTCACTAAATCTTTGTCTCCATTTATACCGCAGAGGAATTCAATTTTTAAAATAGTTCTTAAAATAGTTATTTTAACTGCAGAATCTTAAAAAATATGTAAAATACGTTACAACAGTGTCTGAGCGAGAGAGCAAAAGTAACTGTTAGTCCATTAACAGCTTATGGTTGACCGGAACATATTTAAAGCAACATAATGTTAATAAGTCAAAATTAAATACTTTTATTACCGATACAACTTATCATTCAACTCTCTTTTTTTAAAGTTGAACTTTAAGTGAACCCTATTTTTAAATGCATTTATGTCAATGCACAGTGTTGGGTAATTGGATAAAAATAGTCCCTTCAGCAGGTCGGAAATCAACCCTGGTGGTCGTGGGCGGTATTTTCAAAATGATTTTAGTTTACTTTAAAATTCAGCGAATTACAATACAAATAATAAAATACAATTGTTTTAAACGTTATAAGTATTATATCTTGTAGCGTTTTAGATTTGCGTCCGTCGGAACATTTGCAGAAGCTGCAGAATGTGCGACTTTGTACTAAAAAAAAAGACAGAATAAGGGCTTCATTACATTACTGAAGCATTCAATTTTTCATACAAACCGGGGTGAGCTTGGCACATCATCATTGACGTGTTGTCGGCTTTCGATATCCTTTTTTGACCCAGGCATATTTACCACTGCGGCAGTCGTTGCATCCGTTATATTTTTTTCAGCCAAGGTTTGAAAACTTTTTCCAGATTCTGGTGATGCTGGCTTTTTGGGCAGCGCATTACCTAAGAGAAGACACATTTAGTTTGAAACTTTTTGATTTGTGGTCGCTTACTTAAATACTCTTCCGCAAGTAGATCCAACCAGGATGAATCATCACGAGCTGGCAATCCAATTAAGAAGCCATCCAGGCGCAATTTTAGATTTTCCTCGCCCTTCTGGCGTTGATCATAGTTAACCTCCTCCAACTGATAGCCATAGTCCCCATAATCATTGTATAAAAGCTCAATCAAATCGCTGGCACTGCTGCGCGTCTTCAGAGGCTTGGCCATGGCCAAGCCAATAAATTGCAGCAAGACCAAGACAAATAATCGATTGGTAAATTTGCACATTTTATTTGGTAGCTTCGATTCGCGTGCAGGACCGTTGGCGTCCGACGGCGGGCGATGAATGAGCCACAGGTCTGGACTTGAACAGAAGAGGAGCCTTTGCCTGATGCTAACAAAAACCCGATTGTGTTCAGTTCAATGGCCCAAAGACTTCCGCATTGTTGTGGGAATGTGAGAACCTTCATTAGAGCAGCTTTTGACCGCAGCCTGAACAATTCAATGCACATAAACAACGCAAACTATGCAAGTTTTCCTCTTAATTTTTCAATTGTGCCTTCATTTATAATTGATAGTTGCTTAATTATATGTACAAACAACTCTAGCCTAATAACCTAAATTTAAAGAAAAGCGCGAGTCATTGTTAAACGTTCTAATAACTTGTAATAGACCAAAGGCTGGGTTTTGTTTATTCTATGTATTAACGGTGAATTTGTTGTGCCATGATTCTGCTCTGTGTGTGTGTGTGTGTGTGTGTGTGTGTGCTTAGCCTTGGTCATTGACCCTGCTCAGCGGTCACCACAGAATGCACCTATTGCTCTAGCCAATTCTCACAGGAAGATGCTGCTATCAGAAACTTGAAATTGCATTTTTTTTCTTCTTTTCTGTTTTATTTGTTTTTTTGTGTGCAATGAAAACAGGTTTTTCAAATGAACATTGCAACGTTGCAAATTATGGCTCTGGCCTTAGTGAATGCATTGGATGTTTTTATTTTTATTGCTGGGCCCCTTGATGTCATCTAACATAGCATTCAATTGGGTTTATCCTTCAGCGCAACGTTTTACCGTTACACTCACATTTAGCACTCTCTCACACTGGCTTCCGGCTACAAAAACACTCAATGTTATCAATAACATTAGCAATTAACATGACCGCTTGGCGCTAAATTTGAATTTAAAGTATTTTTTTATTATTTGTGTATATGGTTAATGTTAACATTAACATTAGTAATTAACATGACCGCTTGGCGCTTAATTTGAATTTCAATTTTCTGTTTGTTTATTGTATTGTGTATATGTTTGTAGCTTAAATCTAATGCTTTGTAAAAAATCGCATTTATCGTCATATTTAGCCTAATATATTCGCTTTTGCTTAGCAGTCTGGAAAGTAACTCAGTCTCAGTAGCCCTCGACCTGGCGACAGGCGCCGTAGCTGTCACGCCGTTGTCCCGGCGCACATAGTGCCTGTCCGTCGCGCAAGAGCGTCTTGGAGTTGGCCAGAGCATCGCCAAGCAGCTGGAAGCTTAGCACATCCGCATCAACCAAGTGCTTGGGCAGTATGGGTGTGGGCTCATCGTCCAGCTGCCAGTTGCGCGGATGTGCCTCATTCACAATGTAGGCGGGCACATCGATAGGTGGATACAATACGTTGGCCCGGGCGACATCGCTGCGATAAAGTGGAACACTGATGGAGCGTGCATTGGACCGGGCGACGGGCTCAGGCGTCAAGCGATTGGTATCCAAAAAGCTGTCACCACGCAGGGAGCGTGAATGGCGATAGTACTGGGATCCCGCCTGGTTAAAGCCCTCCAGCAGATTGTTGCCAGCGCTGCTGCTGGCACTGGCGGGTACAGGTGGCAATGCCTGGATGAGCTCTGCTTCCGCCTCAAGATGATACGGCTTGATCAGCTGCGGCATGGGAATCAGCTGCGGGGGCAAAACATCTACCTGCTGTCGATGCAAACGCGGCTGCTGCTGCTGCTGCAGCTCTTCACTAGCACCAGAGATGTCCACATGGTAGGGCGTGCGTCCCTCAATAAACTCGGGCAGAGTCACGCCCAATGCTGCCTGAGGCATCTGTTGCTGTTGCTGCAGTTGTTGCTGCCGCTGATAGAAGGACTTCAGGGCAGAGGCATCCGCATGTTTACGCTTGCCATTGCTCTTTGTGGCGCCACGCAAGGAGGATTTGGTCAGTAGATCCAACAGGCTCAAACCCTCCTGAGGACCGGGCGGTATCAGCACAATCATAAAGTTCTCCAGATCGGCTCTTATATTGTACTGTCCCTCCTGCCGCTGGTCGTAGGTGACGAGACGCCGACGCAGTCCATCCTCAGCTCCAAGTGGCGGCTGCAGTGAACCCACCTGTGGCTCAATCAAAGCTGCCTCCGCTGCCTGAGGCGGCGCCACAGCCGGAAAATATTCCTCCTGCATGGCAGCCGGGCTCGGACTTGGGCTCGGACTCTGGCTGCTGCTGGTGGACAACGACTCGGTTGTGCTGTCTCGCAAATAGGGCGCCTGCGACGCCAATGCCGTTGCGCCGAGCAGCAGCAGCAGCAGCGAGAAAGTCTTTGCAAACATATTTGAAATAATTTTCTAGAGAATTTAACAGCCGCTCGACGTGTTCTTCGTTCTTAACACTCGCGCTTCTGCCTCGCAACTGATTTCAAGCTGCCGACCCGAGCTTTAACATCGACGTCGACGTTGGCGCATGCGCAACTTTCATATTCTGCAGCAGCGACGTCGACGTCGCTGCTTTGTTGCTTTCTTTTGCATCTGCCTCTGCTCCTTCTCCTTTTTGTTCTCGTTCTCTCGTTCTGGTTTTCTGTCACAGTTTTTGTTGTGTGTTTTGCTTTTATTTATTCGTTTGTAGTTGTGACTTTTTGTTGTTGTCGTACCCATTTCGTATGCGTGACTCGCGTGCGTCGACGTCGACGTCGCTGCTCGCTTACACCCGCGCTGCTGCTGCCGCCGCCGCCGCCGCTGCTGCTGCTGCTGCGTAATGTTTGCTTCTCCGTTATTGATAGCCATAGGCTAGTACGATTGCGGGTGCGGCAGGTAGTGGGGTGGGGGCGGCAGCTCTTAGGTTCTCAGAGCGCGCGCACAGTGGGCCGTGAATTAGATTTTCACACCAATTAGGCAATGAGGAAGTATTTTGATGTCCAGCTAATCGCTCGAGCACGTACTCAAATTGATCGCCGGATTGTTGACAGCTGTGCAAACCTGATTGGCAGTCGTGTGGACTCGATTAGGTGCATTTTGTGCGCATTAACAAATTGAATAGCAGAAGATATGTTTATTTACGAGATTAACAATTTGAATGGAAAAGAACGGTGATAATTTGGGTATGTTTTGCGGGTCACACTCTCCGAATGGACTAAAGGGTATCCGCCAGTCGATCTCACTTGGTTATTAACATTTAAATAACATTTTTTTTTTAGTAGATTTCTTCTAGAAAACCAATTTGCAACATCTCACTCGTAAATCACGTTTACTAAAATATAGTTTATTATTATGTTTAAAAGTTTTCTTGTCTTTTGCACAGTTTCAGGAAGGGGGAAGCGACATTTACAGTTAAACATAATTAATTCAGTTTGTGGCGTATACAGCGACCACATATTAAGTAGTATACATAATTATTTGTTTAAATAATAATTACATAGTATGCGATAAAATAATTAGAGGTCTTGGCGGTTGTCTTAATTAAACATGTCATGATCAGCATTCGGCTAGAATTTGTTGTATTTTTTGTGTGGGCCTCTGTTTTAAGCACAATATAAACTATAACAATTACAAAATAATACAAATAAATTAAGCACATTTAAGCTATGCCATTATACTAGAATTGAAAGTAATACGACAATGAATATAAAACACTGGCATATAAATAATTTAATAATTAGATTGTTTACAGGGAACACGATGCGAGCGTATTTTATGACCGAATCAAACCTTTAAGAATTGTTTATAATCTTAAATACAATTAAAATGTAAGATGAGTGTTGATTAAGGTGCAAATGATTCGGATAGTTCTCCCAGTTGAAAGCCAAAACCTGTTTCAAGGAGAGTGCTGCAATTAATCGATCGATAATTATCGATTACACATATAAGATGGAATACTTTGGGATAAGCGAGTTTTTGTTTTCCAATAAACATTAATAAAAGGAATAGCTAAGTCGATTTACAAGTATATCCAGATAGTTTAACTCAAGGTCCTTGCTGCCCGAGCATTTGGTTGAGAAAGCGTTAAGTAGCACAAATATTTACGTAGCAGCTCACGTCGCACACATGCTTCGACAGCCTCCGGGATAATCGAAACACATCCAGAAATTTGACCAAATGCGTTTAGCCTAATCCTGTTTGAGTGCTGTTGTCGGACCCTCCTTGCGCTCCTGCAATGTCTCCTCCGGATTCGTGACCTGATATTCCACTCGTTTGTGCACAGTGAAGCAAACACGATTGAAGTGCTCGCACATCTGATTCACCACGCTGGCGCCGTAGTGCCAATGCGTCAAGGTGGTCACAATGAGCAGCATGTAGAGCAACGGCCGCTCCAGCGCCGGAAGCCACAAGCTCACCAACATGGACAGCAAGAACATGGGCGTCTGCCAGTGCCAGGCCTCGGCGCGTGTCACAGACATTTGGGACACAATCAGACGGCACTGTAAGATGCATAATGGAAATTTATATAATTAATATTAATTAAAAAGAATCTCACAGAAGTGAGGCAACATTTCGAGAGCCCTCCAAGTGCTTAATCTATTCGATGGAGAGCAGAACCCTGAGATAACCGAGTTAAAACAGATAACCATTTAATTAAAATGGGTTTCCAGTTTTTAATATTATTTTTTTAGCTTTGGTTTATTTTGATTCCTGAATTGCCGAACTAATATAGATACATGTAACCCCCCAAATAAATGTCAGTTATTCCTAATTTTATATAAAATCTGACAATGAATTTCGTGAATAGGCCAAATGTTGTATGCATATAAAGAAAACAGATGTTTTGTCGGCCAAAGATTTGGAGCTACTTTTCCAGGTTGCGCTTAGCGGCCCATTTGATTGGCAGCTTGGATTATCTTAATCAACGGATCACCCTCGCGCGGAAATACAAAGATGCCGCGATCCTTTTTCAAGTAGCGAAAGGCCCGATGCTGATACCAGCCATAAATTTGATTCTCTGTCAGCGGCTGCGCTGTGGCATGCTTCGGCACATACTGTTTTTTGGCGACGGTGTCCTTTGGCTTGGCAGCACCGTCCACGTTTTCTTCACTCAGACTATCACGATCGAACTTTTCACGCATCCGTCGAATCTCCTCATCCGTGCAGTTGAAGTACGGCCAATCGTGCCGCGCATAGAACTTGAGAGTCAGCGGACGCTCAGCATCTGTTGCACTTATCGGAGACTTGTTGTGGCCAGCATCCTGTCCACTTTGTTTATCCTTGGCACAGCGCCGACCTCCACAGCAGAACGGTGGCATCTTTTCAAAATTTTCCCTTTGTGTGTGTTATTCTATGTGTCTCAGTCGATACGAAACGTAAATATGACAGCATATTTCCAGGTCTAATCGATCAAACTTTACTCTTGCTATATTTATACTCTAAAACAATTGGAAATGACTAAAAATAGTATTTTTTTTTTGTGCAAATGCAAAAGGAAGCACCTTTGCTAGAGAATGTTTCCTCTTGGTAGTTCGATGAGGTCAATCTTTAGATCTATAAAAGCTAGAAATTTCGAAGGGAGCTCCTCCTAGTGCCAGAGTCACCAAAGTTCTAGTATAGTGTATACAAATCATTTATATTTGATTCTTTGGATAAAATATTAATATAAGAAACTTCAGTTGAACTAGACAATTGTTGACTTTCTTGACTATTGCATAATAAGATCTACTCCACAAAACTGCATAAAAGTTCCTTTTTCAATTACAACGGATATTAAAGTAATCAAAGCTCAAGAACTTCTCTTATTTTATATATATTTTTTATAATGCCTTTCTTTGAAAAATCTTAAGCATGAGCGCTCGTTTGGTTAAGCGCGTGTTGCATTTGATGTTGGCAGAAAGTTCAGGGTATTCAAAAGTCGGTCACTTGTGACTAGCACACTTTTAATTCCTAGCTATACACCTTGTCTGCATCTGCATATTACATCAAAAATCAGTCGAGCAAGGTCTGTCCTCCCAGGTCTGTCACAAGTCGAGTTCTTGCATTGCACATTTGTTTTCCAAGAATATGCAAGCAACATTTGAGCAAAAGCTTATCAGGATGGGTCTATCGTATACGAAGTGCATATATAAATTCTTTATCAATATTAACACACGAGTTAGTTCTCGTCAGAAAAGGCAGCACGCATGTTGCAATCAGCCGGATCGGTACACAATTATTTAAAAATAATCCGAAAGTAGGTCGAAAATTAAGTTTTTTTTTTGGTCTAAAAAACTTGCCATTTACTAGATTCACTATGCTCCTCACATATGAGCAAATGTTTATCAATATCGGACGACTATATCATCTAGCTAGCCTTAAGAAAAGTCGTGCGATGGCCCTTCTTTTTTTTTTTACTGTAATGTAAAATCGGATTGCAAAGACGGGCATCGCATTGTTAATAAATATCCAAGACAAGTATTTAAAAAAGAAATGCAATCGAATTGTGAGTTTTCATCTCTTGAGCTGCACTCAAAATAATGTGTGGCTAATCTCGGTATATTTGTTCGCAATATACTCAAATATCAAAATAGGTACGTATAAATCGTTGATGTGGTCCAAATCGAATAAAAAATGCTAAGCAATTCATATCTAAAGCCTCTTTCTTGTAGTCCCTTGTTAAGCTGTCTGCTTCGATTGCCCTTAACCCTTAGCCATTAAATTGGTTTCCAGAATCAGCTTGATGAGCGGATCAGCTTCGCGCGGAAAAACGTGAATGCCGCGATCCTGCTGCTTGTAGCGATAGGCGCGATGGTGATACCAGCCATAAATTTGATTCTCTGTCAGTGGCTGCGCTGTGGCATGCTTCGGATCGTACGTTTTGGGCTCCTCTGGCGGCTGGGCACCATCTGCATGGTCCGGTCCTTTTTGATTGAACTTTTCACGTATCCGACGCAGCTGCTCATCGGTGCAGTTGAAGTATGGCCAATCGTGACGGGCATAGAACTTGAGGGTCAACGGACTCTCCGCTTCCGTGACGGTTACCGGGAACTCTGCCTGCTCATCTCCATCCTCTAATTTTTGCTTGGCACAGCGCCGGCCACCACAACAAAATGGTGGCATATTTTTTTTAATCTTCCTTTCAAGTGTTTTCCCTTAAAGTGTGTTCGTTTTTGAGAGAATGTGTCACTGAATTCAGTTAGCCTCAACTGACGTCTGAAACTCTGGCTACGAAATTGTCACACGAATTGTCAAAGCTAATCCAATTAGTAAGGGTATATTGGTTATTTACCAAATAATTGTAATAGGCTCCATTTAAGTATCCGCTTGCCTATGGCAGTTCAGGTTGTTTCCCTTCTGATAGCTTCAACATCAATAAAGACTTTATGACTTTGTTATCAGTTTGACTAAATTTGATCGAAATCTAATAATTCAAGAAACCATTCCGATTGCTTATAACTTGAAAACTTGAAATACGTTAAGGTAAATATTGACTTCTGCTGTTTTACATGCGCATTTATCTTTTTCAAAAACAAATAAAGTTACAACTCGAATGGTGAATATTAGGTGGAACATTTTTGAAAATAGTGTTATATATTTTGAAAATATTTGTTCACTATTCATTAAAGACATTCTATGTTTTTGAGAAAAGATATCTCTTGTTTTGCAGATTTTTTTATGTAATTC